ATATTATGTGGCAGTTTTATTTCTCGTTCGTAAAGTGTTGTTGAAAAGTTATTTTGTTGTTTTATTGACAATCTGCATGTTGTTTAAATGTTTAAAAAGTGGTTGAAAGATTTATGAATTCCGTGTTCCACTGGACGCAGTTTTACGCACTTACATAAATAAAGTGTTGTGCGTGGGACAGCGATCGATGGTGCACTGGTAAATCGACATATTATATATTTTGGAATCAGTATACTACATGTATATATTTGAATGTATTTGTTTTTATGTAAATCTGTTTATAATTTGTTCATATTTGTTATGGTTTGGCAAGCTTGTCCTCAACAAGAACACATGTCCCCTGGTGTAAGTTTTAGTTTGATCTTTCAATATTGTTGCCCGTAAAAAAGCAATGTTATGCCTGGCCCTAAACGTGCCGATATCCCGTTATGACGAGCATTTATGACCAGATCTGTGATCCCGCATCACTTCTTTTAGAATGAGAAAAGTAGGCTACTAACCAACATTCTTAGCGATGGGAGGAAAAGGAATAATTAAATAATTAAGTGTAGTCTATTGTTGTTAATGGTATTTCGAGTTACCTCCCATTATATACGATAAGCATGTTGTATTCCCGTCACACCGAACTGCGACCATTTGCGATCTGAAGACGAATGAGAATAAGTTAGACGTCAAACGTGACGGACACGCCTGAAAAAGTTTATGTAAAATTACGAACTATTAAACAGTGGCTCTCATACCCCAACCTATGAGACCATAATGCGTTGCCATCCACCACGACTCGGTTGGCTACTCGGATGAGATATTGAACAATAGTTTTTATAGTAGATCGCAAAGGACACACAAGATAAACGGACCTTTAGAAAATAAATATCTGCGAATGCAACGAAATATTTAGGGTCAAATCAAACTTTGTGATGGGATCATTGGCGATAATGGTGACCACAGTATCAATTTGAGCAGTATCAATTTCGGAAAAAATTCCGAAAAATTTTGCCCTACGAGGTGATTGATTTCCTCGCAAAGGATCGGCAAGCCTTGCTTAATTGGAAGGTTACGTGTTTTTTCTCACACACTAAGTTAGAGCGTATAATGCCATGATTTTCGTTTGTCTATTTTCACATATTTATCGTGGTAAATCTGCAAACTACAATTTGACGGATTTTTTTCGTTAGTGATTTGTGAAAAGACTTATCGATTTTCATGATCGGACATTTTTTTCACCGATTTTGGTACGAGAGTTGCACATGTTAATTTTTTTGGCCCACCAACTATTAATTATCGGATATAGAGCAATAATCATAGTGCAACTTTCTACTGCGTTTCAAATATCCAAAGCCAATAGGGTCTAGCTGAGGTTGTCGTCCAGATAAAGACTTTCAAACAAAAAACAAACAACAAAAAGGTGGGAGGGGGCGAATCCAGAAAATGAGAAAGTTGAGAGCCGAGCTGTGATAAAGTTTTTGATTTTTTTTTTGTTAAAAGGAAACATTGAAGCATGTTCAAAGTGTAGCCTAACGGGTGCTCCGAGCTTTCAACAGTTGGATAGCCCTTTTCGAGGCTGGTATAGGTCGAGACTAGAGTCTTGGTCCGACCACTGAGCTATATAATATAGATCAGTGGATCCGACAGGTATGGACAGCATGTCACTTGTTTTTCCACGGGATGTATTTTGCTCTAGATCAATGTCTAAAGTTTTCTTCATTTTTTATAAGACATGTTTACGATATGGTTTAACTTCATTATTTCGATGTGGACTGAAGCTATATTACCTGTGTAAAGAAAAACGAGTTATCTCTCGAACGACGCTACACCACGTGAACAATGGCCGATTTGATCTGAGCAGACTGAAATCAGACTTTCTCGAAGATTTCCGTGTTTAGTATTGATAACATATAGCTTATGTAAGTAATGAATAATTTTTATGAATGTTGTATCGTCTTTTATATTTCATCTTACATATCATGAGATTAGTCTGTACTAGTGTCGAATTTATCCCGAAGCGAGTTGCCCGTGTTGAGATCTGGGTCAACATTGCGTTCGATACTAATATGTGGATGCATTCGGGCCTGAAAAGTGAAACACAACAACAACACGATGACGGATAATGATAACACTAATGTACTCGTCTCAATACACCCTAACACTAATAAGAAAAACAAATTTGCTCCAAAGTTGGAAAAAAAAAAGACCCTTCAAGAATCAAGTTTCTAATGATTGTCTTAAAGGGACATTCCGCTTTTTTGTAGGTCGAGATTTTACTCAAAAATGCATATAAACAGTTATCCTCGAAAAGTAATTTCGCATCATTAACCACAATATTCCTTTAATCAATAAATATAGCAAAATTTATATTTCAATCTTCTATTTAAAGGGCCTGTAGTCAAAAATTTTACTATCAAAAACATTGTATATCATACCGGAAAATATTTCTAAAATATACTACTTATTACTATGGGCCATATGCAGCGCTCTTACCTTGACTAAAGTTGAACATTGGCTAAAGTCGAACTTTACAACGTTTTTTTAAGATGTTAATGATAACAGTAGAAATAGATGTAAAAAAAAAATAGCAATTTGTTGAAAACGTAGATACATAGATGTAAAATATAGCAATTTTAGAAATATTCTCAGGTATAATATGCAATGTTTTTTAATAATCAAAATGTTGCATACTGTCCCTTTTAATTGACACATTTCTTCAGATATTTGCGTATGGTATTCATATAACTTTCAAAAAAATGCGCCTTTATATATAGAAATTTAGAAACAGAATTGTGTCTTTGTTTTATAGTATTAGAGGAAATGGACTCTCCAAATTCATCAGAGGGAGCTACACCTGTCAAAGCAGAGGGTACTAATGTTGAAATACAGTTAACAGATTCTGATGGTAAAAATTATAGTTGTAAAGTTACAGAGAGTGAGATAGCCCACATACAGTCAGGTTAGCACATATCCATTTAAATATTGTATTCCAATAATTATAGACTTTTGAGAACTTACATGCTATTCTTGAATGACATTTAGAATTGCTTGGAAAAGATTCCTGTATGCGAATCGAAACGTTGTCCAAATTAAAGAGGAGTAGTATATCCATATAGTAGTTTATTTACATGCTATTGTCTGAGCAAATCAATTTTTGAATTTTTTCGATATTTTTCAAGAGAATTGGAATATCAAAGTCAAAATAGTACTGATAATCTTCGAATGTCTTTATCTGTTGTAACTTTACTTTGAAAAGAAATACATCTCCCACATAGAAATTTCAACTCAAACTTCGCTCAGACACTAGGAGGGGATACCTGACTCTGGATCTTCAGAATGGTTGGAGATTTAATTATATTTTCTTAAATTTGTTGCCTTGAATTTATTGAGTTTCGATTGAGTAGTGATTTGTGTTCATAACTCTGTTGGTAACCATTGATCACTTTGGTGAGAGCACCTTAAGGGATGTCCTATTTCATACTATATTTTGTAGATTAATATTTATGATGTTTGTGATTGTACCATCAATGTATTTTGTTGTATTTAAATGCTATATTTCAATTTGGATTGACTAGAAAGTCAAAGTCCCTTATTGAAAGTGTGAGGTTGGATAATCTTCAAGTGACTGATTATAGAATACCTTTGTATTTAGCTAATTACGAGTTAATTATTGACTTTTGAGACAAACTGGTATTTATCGCAATCATTAGAAAACATATACTTTCAATTGATATAATATTATTCCAATAATGGAATATATATGTAAATAAATGGAAATAAGGGATCCCAACTTAAAGTTATATTCAACTTCATTTTTCATGAGAACAGCAAAATTAAATGACAAAAATTGGTAATTTTCTTGACATTGAATTGACAAAAAAATACTTTTCTTCAGATGAAAGTTATAGAACAGGTTTTATGGAGAAACTTAAAACTGGAGAAATCAGTTCAACAATAGTTCCACCTAAATCTTTCTCATTTTCTACAGTACCGCTTTATTCATCTGTCGGTAAGTTATCATTTTCTACAGTACCGCTTTATTCATCTGTTGGTAAGTTATCATTTTCTACAGTGTTGCTTTATGGATCTGCTGGTAAGTTCTCATTTTCTACAGTGCCGATTTATGGATCTGCTGGTAAGTTCTCATTTTCTACAGTGCTGCTTTATGCATCTGCTGGTAATTATCATTTTCTACAATGCCGCTTTATGCATCTGCTGGTAAGTTATCATTTTCTACAGTGTCGCTTATCCATTTGCTGGTAAATTATCATTTTCTTCAGTGCAGCTTTACACCTCTGCTGGTAAATTATCATTTTCTACAGTGCCACTTTATTCATCTGCTGGTAAGTTACCATTTAAATAGGAGAGTTACACCTTTATTTATCGCTGTGTAAGTTAGCATGTTTTAAGTACAGTTACACCATTATTCATCTGCTGGTAAGTTGTCATTTCCTTTAGTACCACTATATCATTTTCTACAGTACCACTTTATTCATCTAAGGGTTAGTAAATGATAAAATTAGCCTTTCTTAACCTTCAAGTTATAAGATTAATCAATATTCGATATTTTTTACATAAAATTTAACAAATTTCAGGTTTCATGAATTTGGCCCTTTTGTAGGAGATCGAGAACCAAAAATATGGAAGAAAGCTGAAGCAGATGAATTGGTAAAATTAAGAATTGATATGGATGAAGAGTTCCAACAGAAAAAGGTGCATGTAGATCTTTGGCAGAGAATAGCAGGACAAATAGTTTCAAGTGGAGGTGAAGTGACACCCAACCAAGCTGCTAACAAATGGAAATCTTTAAAACGCAGTTATACAGCTTATATGGATGGAAAAGTTGAATCTTTTCAGTATATTGATGAATTTAACCTGTTATTTCATTCAGGGAATAATACACCCAGATATTCCAAGGTACGCCATTCTGATGCCATGTCATCATCTTCTATGGCATTAAGAAGGAGTAACAAGAAAGCTAAAAGACAATTAGCTGATACTAGTGTTGATGATGAACTTGATTCAGCAAGTGAATTAGATGATGAATGTTTGAGTGAAGAAGAAATCGTGACGCCTTCCTGTAATTGTATTCATACATGTCACAAGAGGAAACGTGAAAAATTAGGTGGGTCTAACAATCAAGATGTGTGCTCGTTCCTTAAAGAATTTGTTGACATTCAAAGAGAAAATATATTCCATCAACAGAATTTACTCCAAAAACAAGACGAGACACTGTCCCGCTTCGATAGATTTTTAACAAATCTTTTGCGGAAAAAGAAAAAGGCATCATTTTGAATAGTCGACTGTGGTATATTATCTTTTATTGTTAGTGTTGAGATGAGAGTGAATGTGTGCGATAACTTCAAAAATGATCTGAAATACTTCATTTTTGTGTTACCAATAACCAAGGTAACAAAGTTATTCTGCTCTCTTGCTAAAACTTAACCATTGTCGACATGAATGCTATAAATCAGGGCTGTTGATATGGCTCTATTTGCCAGACAGTTTTTGGACAGGTAATCCAAGTATACAAAATATTATTAATTATTATTTGTTTTTTTTTAATTGTATTATATATATTAAAAATGAAATATTCCTGAGCATTCCTCAAGTCTCAACAATCAATGTTAATCTATTTGTCTCTTCAGAATAATGTTTTGAATTAAAAAAAAAGAAGTGTCACTAAAAAAAAATTAAAAGCCCTTTCAAATGGGATCATGATTCAAAATCACAGGACCTCACTTTTTATGGATTATAAAACTATCCAGTTGTATGGTTCAAGATCTAAAATAGAACATTATTGCATCATGTAATAAGGCTGTCTTCTAGATCCTGGATTACACTTTTATCAAGAATCTATGCCTTTAAGAAATTCAATATGGCCGACACTAGGTCTATGTTTGATTATGTAAGGTTCATTACGCCGCAGTAAAGGCTCATCAGGATCTGTCACTGCAGGATTATCATAAACAGTAGTTATTAAATGTTCATTTTTCTCTATTTTTGGTATTTTTCTAACTGACGGCTGGAATCTCTGAAGCTTTTCTCCGTAATAACTGTAAAGACAAAATAGATAAGATTCTTATATCTTGCATATATAGTGAAGCCGAGTTGTGTTGTGTTCTTCAAGCCTTAAATCATTTTAATATATTGACATAATTAGGTAAACACAATATCTTCAAGTAAGAACATACAAAAATAATTGTGTTTCAATATGTTACAATTGGCAACCAAATGTTCTCACATATTGTTGGTAAACAACCAAAACTTACTAAATTTATGTTTGTTCAGATCACTTTCAAATGTTATGTTTGTTAACAAACAGATTTCACATGTTATATTTGTAAACCCTTTGCTTCCACATGTTGTTTTGTTTGTTCACAAACCATTTTCATATGTTAAGTGTGTTAACTTATAATATGATATGATAATTTGTTTACCAAATACTTTCACACGTAGTTTGTAAACAACAGCCAGGACATGTTATATTTGTTTTTTGTAACACTTTCCCATGCAGTATGCTTTGGTAGTTGTGGTAGCTGTTAACTAACAATTTTCAAATGTTTATATATTTTGTAACTAGCAGCTTTCACATGTTGTAATTGTTAACTAACAGCTTTCACATGTTATATTTGTTAATTAACAGCTTTCACATGTTATATTTGTTAATTAACAGCTTTCACATGTTATATTTGTTAACTAGCAGCTCTCACATGTTATATTTGTTAAATAACAGCTTTCACATGTTATATTTGTTAACTAACAGCTTTCATATGTTATATTTGTTTCCCTAAAAAAGGAACAGAGAAATTAGTCAGATTAAAAGCACACATTAAGTGCAATTGATATGATTTAAATAAAAGACAACTGAACTCACCCAAAGCCCTTTTTATCTTGAGGATTCTGACCATCGTTTTCTAAGGCTTCAACTAAGCCAGTTGAAGAAGATGACCCAAGTTTGTTACCATCACTCCATCCTTGCTTTTCCATGATCTTTCTTCCAAAACCCTTTGTATGTTTCTCAAATCTACCAATTTTACTGTTTGATTCTGTGTCCTGACTGATTTTATTTTGAAATCTCCCAACAGTATATCGGTCTGTAGCTTCAATCCCCTTTCTCCTTCGTTTTTCTTGTCTCATTGTAACTAGATCTTTGGAATCTTTATCACCACCCCCTTCTTCATAATAACAACTCATATCAACATCCCAATCATCAGCACACTGTTCATCAAAATCTAAAATTAAAACAACTAATATAATCATCAGCAAACTGTTCATCAAAATCTACAATTAAAACAACTCATATAATCATCAGCACACTGTTCATCAAAATCTACAATTAAAACAACTCATATAATCATCAGCACACTGTTCATCAAAATCTAAAATTAAAACAACTAATATAATCATCAGCACACTGTTCATCAAAATCTAAAATTAAAACAACTAATATATAATCTTAAATACAATTAAATAAGTTATTAAAAATACAATATCAAACCCATGTATTTTTAATTAATAATGCAATATCATTTGCTTTTGATTTAAATATGTTCTTACCTCCTTCAAATTTTTTCCAATACTGAGCATCAGTATAAAATACAAGTCCACTTCCACCTTTCTCCCATTTTAATTCTATTTTTTCTTCAAATAATCTCTCTTTATTTCTAGCTTTATTAGAGGGGTCATCATAATTAGCTTCATGTCTCTCCCACTCTTCACATCCATCATCATCCTAATTAATACACAAAAATGTTTTCTTCATTGGTTCATTTTATGCTTGTCAATGTGCAATGAAGGAAATTTTACAAGGTGGACAGTCAAAAATATGTGCACATCATAACGGCAACAATTTGCATCACTAAGAAAACCTACTTTGACGACTTATGCTTGAAATTCAAGTTGATCCCCAGACCCAAAGGTTAGTAATGAACAAAAATTGTGTAAAATTATAAATAATAAGCTTAAGCTTATGCAAGATATAAACATAATTGTGTTCATTTAAACTATATTACAAGACATAAAGTTCCTTTAAACAGACCCTCAAATTTTCTCCATTTTGCCCCAGCGCTCACCTTCTCACAATGGAAATGAGGCATGTATCTTCTGAATCTTCATGAATACCAGTACTGAAACACTTGTCTATGAGTGCGTAAACTTACCTCTTCTGATTCACTATTTTTATGTATCATGCTTTCTTCTATTCTCTCTTCTTTCAATTGTCTGATTCTTCTCTTCTCTGCCTTCTTTTCTGCCCTTATCTTCAGGTAATCAGGAACTGATGTCTCATTGGAATGATTGTTGTGGGTAGAGATTCCTGAGTGAGGGGAAGTAACTCTGTCAGAATTATCAGTACTGTCATCTTTCTGAATTTCAGAGGTTGACGATGCAGTCCTTTTTGAATTTTTCAACAGTTTTATTTGAATTTTGAGGTTATTTGATTTTTTCACATCACTTGCAGGCTTACACAGATCACAATAGAAATCTTTATGATGAATTTCATTAAAATCGTCAACATCTTCAGTTTCCATATTTGTGTTTTCAAACTGAGTACCATGACTAGAAATTTGAGTATAATCAAAAGGAACTGTCCCAAATAATTTCTTAGGTTTAGTCCTGGGAAATTTGAGACCAAGTTTCTGAATGATTTTTGGTGGAAGCCTACACTCTTGAATATACTGCAGAAATGTTTTTGTGGGTGTCCCAATGTTCCCATGTGGCATCATTTGAGGGGGGTGTAATTCTGGTAGTTTTAACAAATCACTTTCAGTAAACTTCACTCTATCTTCTGGAATATTTTTCATCTCAACTTTTGTTTTGTATTCAAGTTCTTTCTGATTATCTAAAATTAAAACACAATCAGTAATCAAAGTATTTAGGTTATAACATCTGAATCTGGATTATTTACGTTTAGTTCTTTATATGTAAAGGAAAAAAGTGTAAAACTTCAAAATATCCAGAAATGTTTGAAATCCTCCCATTTGTTCAGATTTATCAATTTTGGAACCAAAAACCATTCTTAGTTTTTCAATTGATATCAATAATGGGGTAATCCTTGTTTTAGGGAAAACATTTACATTTAAACATTTAAAAAACCATACTGTACAACAGTGACTGTTAGTGACCACCAATGCCAATGGTCAGACATGATGCCCAGATCTACCCACCTTTGTTCTCTGTTGAAAATTGAATTTGTGACATGTGACAGGTGGTTGATAAAATATCACCATTCTTATCCAACCAATTATTATTGTTATATTTTTGACATAGGTAATAGAAATTATGTCTTGTCAGTCTTATAACACAACATGTTGTTTTACTACTTTCACTTTTGTTTACATTTTGTAAGGACGTTTCCTTAGAATTTTCTTCTTTTTCTGTCGTCTGCTTCTCTGAGCGATGTCTAAAATGAAAACACTGAAAATGTCCACTTTCCACAGACTGTGAAAAGAAATTTCGTAAATCCACTGAGTGATAAAATGCTGGAATATTGTTAATAACAGCATAACAACATTCACCACATCCTTCTGTAGCCATTTTTGTTTCGGGATATCCCTTTCTACGTTGTCTAGACGTAAAATGTAACTATTTTTAGACTAGGTGAGTCTATTTTCACGGGGACCAAAGGTTGTACGGACGAACTTAAAATGTTAACCAAAACCATGAAAGTCATGAATTTTAGACAGCAATTGAATTTCAAGATCTATAATATTATAAAGGATGGATTTGGAGTATTTGACATAAAACTGTATCTTTTGACAAGTCAGCAGTATTTATCAGGAAGAGACCACACCCCTAGTCACGTGACGGAAATGAGTCAATAGGCAAATGTGCTGTCATTTTTACGGCACACGAAACTCCACACAGGTGAGAAAATTTCACGCTCTATTATTTCTAGTTGGCTAATGGATAAATATTTGACAGTTATAAGTATGTATGACATTTATTAACAATAACTTTTTAACTTTAGTTGATTATTTTTTTGCATTTTTTTCCACGTTTGGTATTTCAAACACCTGCATTTCTGCACTTGAGATTTCATTGCATGACAATCCTCTACATGTGTCGTAAGATAACAACATCAGATCTACTTACTGATTACTAGTTCCTGAAGTGAATATTTCCAACGTACAAAATTATATTTACAAACTCGTATGCATGATATTTATGGATCTCAATATTAGAATGAATTAATGTCTTTGGTTCTATATATGGAGATAAAAATGGCTTTTTAAAAGTTTTTTTTTAGGTGTAGGAGGCAGCTTTTATCTTTTCGGGCAAAAAAGACAGAAGCGTGTTGTGCCTTCGGTGCTCATAGTCCTGCTTTGGCCCCCAGCCACCCCCCCTCCCATTCAGTTCCTGCTCATACGCCTATGTGCACATTTGTCATTTGAATTAAACTCTTCCCCCAGATATGGCACATGGAAACTTGGCCTATACATAAGATGGAATTGATGGAAAATTGTAAAATCAAATGATGTTTGAAATCTGTTTTGCTGTAATTAATCACTCATCGAAAGATGAAAGTAGCATAATACACATTTAGAGTTGCATTTTTGATTTTAACTGATTGTATGATTCTGTCAAACCTGATTTACCATCCTTAACTTAGTCGGGATGGTTTAAATGGCATCTGAATATAAAAACCTAATATAAATCTAGGTTAACCTGGAAACTGATAGTGTACATGAGGTTTTCTAGTTTTATTAATGTGAACAGTGTCGGCTTCAATTTAAAGGGACAGGTGCACCATTTATTTTGACCAATCATACTTTAGTCTCAGAAATGGGATGTGTCCACAGCTCACTGTCAAAATTTGAGCCTCCAAGTCCATGTGTGTCCAGAATTATCTGCGATTGAATTTTAAAATGACGTCTCATCATTTTAAGATACTCTGTGACATATAGAAAAGACATATATTGAAATAGTTTGTAAAATTCCTAGTTTGAAGTATTTTTAAAGGAATTATGTGATTTCCATACATTTCTAGTACTTCTGAAGACTATTTACATATATTCAAGACTAAAATCAACCCCCTAAAATGCCACATCTATCCCTTTAAACTGATTGAAATACCAGTTAACCATTTGCAGGAAATTAAAAACTCTTTCCATTGATTAACACAAATAGACCTGAAAACCGTCTAATAAGCTGCAGTGGATGAAATGTTTTATTACTTATTTTGAACCAAAGTGAGATGATCATAGTGAGTTATGCTGTTGAATTGTTAGCAAGGTGATATTTGTGTCTGGGAATTTTGTTCCCTGAAGTAAATTTGGGTGTCAAAGCAGCCGAATACTGAGAGAAGTGTTAAAAAAAAACTGGGCGTTGAGACTTCTCAACTTGAGATGAAATGTTTGTAAAGGATTAGCTTTGACGTTATCTAAATCTATGTGTGTTTAAAATAACAGAACATTTTTAAAAACAATTGAAGTTTGCCTCTCAGTAAACATATCAAAGCAAAATTGTCTTTTTTCATTTTCTGTGTTAATCTGACACCAGTTCCACGTCTGTTAGGTCATGTCAGTTGACAGAATGATCTAGTTGATTATTTAGATAATGATAGCATCATCACACTTTTAACATTATTGCTGTAGAGGGACTTGAAAGGTAAAAAAAAACCACTTAAATCAGCAGCTTTGGCCAAGTATTTGCGAATCGATCATGGCGCTAGGATATCCTAGAACCAGTGTTATAAGTAAAGAACTTGAGACATCCTAGTGGTACAAACATTTCGGAAATAGCAGCCAGGGCTCAATGAATTTATGTGAAACATTTTATTACCCCTTATATATGTCTATATGTAGTATTGTTTAACTACTTTTAAAAGGTAATGTTAGATCAATTCAACTTAATGCTGATGGACTTGAATTAAAAGTTATTTTATGATATCTAGATGATGCTGTAGATTTTTGGATCTGAATGCCATTATGATAGAGTTTGTCTATTTGGTTCTATTTACCAGATGAATAATAAAATGATCAATTTGTAAATCTGAGGAAGAAATAAAGTTAATATTGATTTTGAGTGATTCATCATTGATGACTTCATGTCCACTATGAAAGTTAAATTGTCTAGCAGTCTAACATCTTGCAACATATTTCAGTGTGTATTGCTGAAAATAAAAGCATTTTTAGATTTAGCCAAATAAAAACAAAAACTTTGTATTATATTTATTCAAAATGGTCAAAGGGACAGGTAGGCCATTTTTTTGACAAATCATACTTTAATCTCAGAAACTGGGATTTTTTTAGCTGAGCAAATCACTAATAGTGTTCAAAGCGCACTGTTGTTATTTGAGCCTTCAAATCTATGTGTGTCCAGAATTATATTAGTTTGTTAATCGACTCGTCAATTTAAGATACTCTGTGATATAAAGAAAAGACATATATAGAAATAGTGAGCGGCAGTCCCAACCCCTGGTCTCAACGGGCTTTAGCTCTTCGGGCCTCGTCTTGGAGACAATTTCATATCAAGTCGTGCGTGGACCTGAAAATAGAAAAGACCTCTAGCGTGAATTTTATTCACAGTTTTCATTGGATGAAAGTTTAATATTCGACCAATCAAAGTAGGTTTTGCTTACACTCTCGGCTGTTTGGAGATGACAGCAGTAAACAAGATCTGAAAAAGGCTGTGTCATGAAATTACACTTTAATTAAAATTTAGATTAATATTGTTTAATTTCATACATGGTTTCGAATATTAATGACTTTTATAAGAATAAGATGACTACTAATATATCTGAGATGGCTACTAATTACTATTTCACAATTCTTGAGAATTTTTATATATTGTGTATGGAATTAGTAGGGAGAAAATAATATTGTCTATATATAAGGAGGACTAAGTTCGTTAATTAATGCTGTATTATGACTATAATGAATGTAGTTGTTAGGAAATGTAATAGGACACAGTGAGAATAAATAGATTTAACAGTAGAAATGTAATAGGCCGGACATAATAAGTAATTATATTATTATTATAAACATGGCAGTAGTCTCCAGTCATATCATTATAATCTACTGCTACATTATATCCTCATAGTTTATTACAGAAGACCTTCGTTTTGTGGTTTTTTGATCCGAAAATGATAATTACTTTATTGATTAATACAAAAATGAGCGTAGAAAATAGTGCAAGACATCAAATTATTATTGATGTGTAAACAACAAAAAGCATCTTATTCAGTTGAAACAGTAAATCAATGCACACTTGTGCTAAAGGCTGTATACTTTAAAGATCCATCAGCAGATGAAAATCCAAAAAGATTATGCTACTGCTGCTGTTAAGCCTTGTATGATTTTGCTTGTTTTCATAAGCCTGATGTTAAACTAATTTAAAGGAACAGAAGAGCAACTTTGGGGTGTGGCATATATGAAAATAGCCTCCAGAAGTATGAGAACTGCTTGAAAATAATCATATTATTCCTTCAAAATACCTCAAACTAGGAATGTACTCTTTCTATATGTTTATATTTGGCAGTCTCAAGAAAAGACAAGCCTTAACTCTCAAACAGAGATAATTCTGGACATACATGGATTTGAAGGCTCAAATTTTGGTGTTGAGCTGTAAACACTAATTACAGTTTGGCTTTGCTAAAAAAAATTCCCGTTTCTGAGATTAAGGTACAATTGATTCATTCATTCAGTCTCTTTCAAGGTGTTATGTTACTGAAATAGTAATTACATACATACTCCATAATATGATTTTAACTTGGTAGGTGAAAATGCTAGTGTCATCATCGGTATAAACATGGGAATTGATGTTAAAAAAAACCTTATGCAGTAAACCCTCCATAACATGTCTTCTGTTTCAACTAATCAACAATTGTCAAATTATCTATGTGAGATTATGTAAGTGTTGATAAGTTTTAGATTAGTTCTGTCATTTTCCCATTATCAATCAATATTTACAGGGTGTGGTCTATTATTATCCTTTTAATATTGTTAATGTTAGGCAGACTGATCACAGCATCCGTAGATTGCAACATCAGTAGGAGCTTTAAATAGTAAATCTATCAGGTGAGATTAATATGTCTGTTGTCATGGTAGGAATTAAGTATTTTAGTACTTTTTATTGCATATTTTATGTTACAGGTTAATTGATCTATAAATCAATTGCAAGTTTAGTCCTTGATAATACAGTTTAGGATAATATTGCATTTGGATCATACAAGATTTATGCACAATTATTTCATTTAGTATCTAGAAAATGCCCAATGAGGGGGCCAAAAATGAGAAATATCTCTCCAAGGCGAGGCCTGAAGAGCTAAAGCCTCTTAGGGCCCGGGGGTTGGGACTGCCACAAACCCCCTGATTTCAGATGACCTCAGATGAATTTTAAGCATTTAAAGGGGGAGGCCCTCTCCTGAATATGCTGCTGCATACTTCTACTCAGCTTTGTTTTTAACCTGTTTCAAACCCAAAATAATTGAAATATGTCATTCTGTGGCGGACTTGAAAGATAATGATTTAGAAAAGTTGAGGGGAAATTCTGAAATTTTAATGTTTTCAGTAAGTTTTTAGTTTTCTGACATTGGA